GATTGGATTCTCGAAATTGGATCCAATTGGCTCCTCGAACCCGTCATGTGAATTGGTCCTTCTCTTCCTTCTGACTCCCGTTATTGGAATCGAACGGGGCATTCCAGTATGCCCCGGCTGACTGTAACGGAGTCAGTGAACCTGACCACTCAGTATTTGTACTGGAGTTGGTCGATGCTCCCAATATTCGAGATAACTGAATATTAATAAAATTCCCCTTTCTTTTTATTTTCACTGTATACTCGTGTTACAACACGACATCGAGATAGCCTTTTTGTGTATATTTTTCATCATCGAGTCTTTGTCCTTTACATCCGTATTGTAGCTGGACGAATCCATTTTTCGACATGTTATCTTCTTTGACCGCCGTACTCCTCATTTTATAGTTGCGTCGTTTCTTTGGACAATGTTGGGCAGTGTGCTTAGGTTCTCAGCAATATAAACATAATTCTTCTTGACGACGACGAATCTTTTCTTGCTCAGTTAAGGGTTTAAAACGTACCACGTCAATTTGCATGTCTTCTACTTTCGAATGTACGTTTGGCAAAGATGTTGATGTTGCCATTGAGTAATAACGTTGAAGTTCCCGTGAATGATTTTCGGATCGAAATTCGAAAAGTCGATTATCACATTTTACCGCAAAATCGATTGCTTAACTCAAAGTTTGAGGATCATGTAAGTTGAGCATCAATTTCTTTACTTCGTATTGCAATCCATAAAGAAATTGACTGATGAGTGCAGTATCATCCCACTTGATGTCAATTGCAAGTTGTCGAAATTGTGAAGCATACACTGTTACTGAGCGATTTCCTTGTCGCAGAATTCGGATCTTATTTGTTGCAACACGAGTTGTATCGTGTTCACCATACATAGATCGAAACTCCGCCAAAAAAGCTTCCAAATTGTCTAATATTGGATTTCATTGTTCAAAAAAAGACGAAAACCACGATAATGCAGAACCAGGAAGTAGAGTGCCTATAAACCTGACTTGTGATCCTGGAGTTGGATAGCTTTGCGGTTGAAGTTCAATTGCCAATTGTACTTGATTGATGAACCCTCGAAACTGTGATCTCATACCATCAAATTTCTCGGGTAAGGCAATTCTTGGTTCTCTAGTTCTTACAGGGTGTTGTACAATTGGGGAAAGAAAGTGATTTGTTGTAGATGTTGAAGCAGCTCCGATCATCTCTATATCCCCACTTTCTGCTATTCTTGTTTTTTCCTATGTTGGTGAATTGAGTTGATGCATCGCAAGCATTAACTTCCTCATTTGCTCTTGCATTTGTGCCATTGCACTCTTCATTTCAACAAGTTCTGCCATAATGACACTAAGAAGAAAAATTTGTTTGATACTGCTCAAGACAAAAGAAAAGAAAGACTTGATAACAAAGAAGATACTAAGAACAATATCACTTTAGAATTGGGTAATCCACAAACTTCTAATACGCTTATGTCTTGTCAAGAGAAAGGGGTAATCCACTCTTACTCAAGAAAAACAAAGCTCTGATATTGTAAGTGCACTCTTGTCAATCTGTCAAGGACAAAGACTCGATGAGGGAAAATATACACAAAAAGGCTATCTCGATATAATAAGTCAAAATATAAACAAGTATGTATATTAAAAGGAAACTGGAATGGCTATTGCCACAAGACAAGAAACTAAAGACTCTTGAACCTGGACTAGAAGCAAGAAAGGAGTTGACAAGAGTGAAGAAGCCTTCACTCTTGTCTCTATATATACTATCTAACTAGGGGCTACGTGGCGACGTTCTATAGGACCTCCAATATGTGTTGACTTTGTAGGACACATGCCTTGACTTACAAGGCAAGTTTTTCTCCGTGTGGGCCACATAGTTAGCTTGATCTTCAAGCTAACAACATGTGTGGCACATGGCCAACTTGTTGACCACGTTTCTAATCCAAAAAGTCAATTAAAGACACCTATGAAGTCAAAGCAGCGTCTAGAAAGTTTCTAGGAAGCTTCCATATTAAATATTATAGAATTAACTTACTTTTATCTACTTTTACTTACTTCTACCTATTTCTATATGTAATTATTAGCTTACATGATTATGGATGTGACAAGTAGCGCGAAAGCAAAGTCTATTTTGTCTTATAGTCTACTGTAGTTTTTAAAAGCCTTCTTGGATTTAATTTGATTTAATGGATCAAATGCAAGGTCTTTCATGATTTGGCCTAGTTCTATAGTTGGAGCCAGTTCTAAATAAGGTGCTTGAAGATTCGTCACTTATGGTATTATAACTTCTAGTTTTTTATGCGTGAAATTATGCCTTCTTTCAATCCATCCATTCCAAGCGTCATTAAATTTATTAATATTATAGAATTTTTTCATATTGGAAGGGAGTTTTGATTCTATAGCTTTTTCTTGATTTTGCTATGTTGTCTACTCCAGACTATGTTGATGTAGGTCTTTTCAAATTATTCTATCTCTTTGCTCCTTGTTTGAGTTTTTTTATCCATTTTTTCTTGCATAGTTACTTGGACTAGTGGTAAAAGAAAATGTTGGAGTTTCTAAAGGTGGAATTGACATCTTGCATAGATATAAAGGAAGAGAAGATTTTGCCTACTTTTGATTAGGAAAATAACCATTAGTCTTAATGATCGAACTTTTTCTTTGAATTAGGTGATTTGAAGATACAGTTGTTTGATTCTGCCATTTGGTCAACTCTAATCTTCATTATAGATGGATCCTTCGGTAGTTTCTTATCAAATAGGCACTGGACATGCAAAATTGATACCTTATTAAAAGACTGTCATAGTCCATCTAGATGTAGATCATGTTACCAATTATTGGATTGAAAGCCTTGATTATTTGGTTATATAGACTATATGTCAAAGACATAAATCTTGAAGAAAGAAAAATCCTCAATACACTCTTATGTCACTAAAGAGAACTAGAAAGGCTCTCAAAAGGTGATATAATATTAAACTAGAATGGCTACTGCCAAAAACAAGAAGACTAAAAAGTCTTGAAACAATTCTAAGGACTAAAAAGACGTTGACAAGAGTAAAGAAGGCTTCACGCTTGCCTCCATATATACTCTCTAACTAGGAGCTACGTGGTAATATTCTATAGGGTCTCTTATCAATTCTATATTGCCAAAATATTCTATAGGACCTCTTATCAAAATACAGAAGTTTTGATAAGAAGTTCTGATAACACAATACAAAAGTTCTTATTAGCTCCATATTGACTATTTTAATTTTTTTTCCAAAACCATTCCTAAATATTGTGTTAGGTCTTAGGCATTGCTTATGAACTTATGTAGGATCAATTTATGAGTAATCCATGTATGTAACTTCATGCCTACATGGCAACTTATGTTAAATCCTATTATCTACAGATAGAGAAAGCATGTTTTTTATTACAATTATATCAGGTTTGCATTAGGATTTTCTATGAAGTAATTTCACTTTTATTCAACAACTAAAAGAATCTATGCCCTAGATACTTTCCAAGCTGGATGTCTTCTTTAATCTCTGATTTTAGATGCTCTAGCCACATATGTAATAATTTGGTAGAAGGTCACTTCCAATAAAATAAGAAATGATTATATATTTTTGAAAAAGTCCATTTTGGACTTAATCTTGATTTCATCTAGTCGCACATCTATTACCCTTGTATTAAGCAAAATGCTTATGCTACTTCGGATTAAATCCTTAGAAAGTTTTTCATCTAACAGGGCATGAATCAAATATATGGTCGCAAATTTATCCATGTGAGTAGTCATTGCAATCAACTTTGGCTTCATATAGTCGTACTTGTGCATCCTTACCACCTCCCTTCTTGTCTCTAAGTTCGTAGGCAATATTGGAGCATGGACAAACTTGGTCTTGAATATTTTTTTGTATGAGGCTATGGTGAGTCTTGATTGTATAAGGTCATGTCATGTGGCTTGTGAGGCTAGTCAATATTGACACCACCAAAAACCTTAGTAAAAATCCTATTTTGTAATGCTACTCTATCACACTGTTGTCTCTTGGTTCTATCTATGAATATAATAAGAGACCAAAATAAGTTAATAGATTTTAACTCTCCAAAAAGATTGAGCAAATACTTAGTTATGAATACAATGTGAGCATTGTTGCTACTCTCGAAATCATCTTCTACTATCTAGTTGAGCTCTTTGAAGCATCATCCTATTCTCCCATGCCTCTACAAATTTTGATTGAAGGGATATTGCTTTGTTTTCTCACACTGACCAACTTATGGAGATTTTCTTTAAGATAAATGATGGTAGAAATCTTCACTTTTGAACATGTAACTCAAACTTTTCATATATACAACAAATATTTTTGTTATACTAAAGAACAAAATTTTGCTACTAGTTTACAATAAATACTTAAAAACATATGATCAGAGATGTTTAAGTAATAACAAATTCTACAACATTTTAAGTTTTCTACTTTATATTGTAAAAGGCATTGTGATAATACATTACACAAAGTTGACTCATCATTTTGCATTGCATATTACACAGTGATGCAATAGAATTATCATTCAGTCCAATATATATATATATATATATATACTGATTTTTTTCTTTTTGTGCAAGTATGGCTTGTGCAACTAGTTATGTGGAGATGGTTTAAGGGCTACTGTCTTGAAGCAAATTTTGTTGCAAAAGAAGGATGACAAAATTTGTTTACACAAGTTTTGGATGGGAACTTTTAGATGGTAAAAGAAATTGGTCACTTACTTTATAATACAACCCAACTTGCATTAATAGATTTTCAAGGGGACGTTTTGTTCTTCATCAAATTGTGGTTGTATCAGTTCAATTCACTCCATTCGAGACCATGAGGCAACTTCTACTTTCTTTTACATTGTAATTCTTCATAACAATTAAACCCTACCTTTGTTTAAAGGAATGAAAATAGATTAAACAAGAGGGAGGGAGGGAGACTGCAAGGCTTGTCTCATGAATGCCCTTTCGGTGCACGAATGTTCACGGACCAAATCTTAACCCTAATCCTAGCCCTAATTTTGAAGAGCAATGGGTGTGTGCAAGCTCGGGCATGGAGGAGGGAGGATGAAGCTCACGGCGATCTGACAAAGGGCGATTCGTCGACAAATTTCTCGTTATGGGGATCACAAGGGCTCCGGATTGAATGCGTCGCAACTTGCGCCGATCATTGCAGCAGCAGCAGCATCAGCGTAATTAATTGGGAGGCAAGGGGACGCTGCGCTCGAGGGAGGACGTGTGAGAAAATGCGAGGGCCGACAACGGCGTTGCATTTATTGAGGATCGCGCACGGAGACGATGAGAATGGGGGTGGTGCTGCCGATGATGCAGCTCCCACATGGAGCCTGTACTAGATTCTGCACTCGGGGAGGTTGTTCTCGCAGTACTCTCCTTCATTCCTGTGCTCTGGCATCTTCGTCGTCACTAAGCTTGTCCCGACTTCCGACGTCAGTGCGTATATTTGGGGTGCGGGGTTTGCGGGGTCGGTAGCTGAATGGCCTTTGAAGCGTCTATCTCGCGCGGCTTGGACCTGGAGGATTCTTGGGAGCTGTGTTTGACACTTTCCCGTTGCGTTGCTAACTTGGGCAGTAATTGTGTCCAAGTCATGCTTATCCGATCGAGGAGTCGAATTTCATAATCTGAGTTCGTAGCTGATGTGTGAAGCTTAGGGGGTAATGGCGACCACGACAACTTGGTAATGTGGTGAATGCGTCGGTTGAAGTATGTTAGCCTTGGACAGCAAACATTTTCAGAATTTCACTCAGGTTGGAACGAACTGGTATTTTTCGGGTTTCGCTCGAACTGAAACGATACTTTAGTAGTAGTTCAAAGGAAGGAGGGTTACTGTTTTACGTGTGTTGGAATTCAACCAGGAAATGCTCATTGAAGGTAAGTGCTTGCCGAATGCCACAGTAATAATATTATTGTCTAATGTGTAGCCAGATGGAGGTGTACGCTATATTGGCAGGAGCATGCACATTACACGTTATTGCAAAATTTATGCAGAATACCCTGGATACATTTTATTTATTTTTATTAAAAAAACCCCTATAAAAACAAACAAAGGTGACGGGGAAGGGGAGGAGGAAGAATAGAGGTGGTGGTGTTTATGTGAAGGGGGTGCCACTTGCGTCCGATCCCCAAAGCATCGATGCGCCGCCCATGCCATGCGCCTCGGCGTTGCAAGGCTATGTAGACAAGAGCTATGATAGGCTTTACTTTTGGGCGATAATTTTGGCCATCACTCGTGCGACCCAGCGTTGTGATTAATGAGGTAGCTTCAGACGCCGCCAGGGAGTCCCGGCGAGTATAGGGAGCTGCATAATAGTGGTGGGTGACCTCTCCCGCGGCGGTCCAATTTGCAGCATATCCAGCTCCCCAATCTAATTTTGCCAACAAGTACATTGTCAAAGATGAAGCATGGAGCTTCCATTCAGCTCTTGTCGTCGCAAGCACCGTGCACAGTCATCAACATTTGCGAATCGTTCGACTCAGCTTCGGCATGGTGAAGTGGACCCGATTCACACGAGTCACAAATTCAGGAGAGGCTGAAGTAAATGCGCTGTGGTGATTGATCACAGCACCGATCATTGGGGATGCCGAAATTGGAAGATTAGGTTTCAAAATTAGGCGCAACGCCACATGGACAGAAACAGGACAAATCGGCAGAATGTTGAGAAGGGTCTCGAAGGATTTATTGATCGAGACCATGGGAATCTAGGAGCTACGATTCGAGATTTCAGCAAAACTTGCCAGTTGGCCACGTACATTGTAACCCCCCTAAAAATTGTAACCCCCTAGAACCCAATCGTCGATTCCGCGTTTGAAATTCGACAACACTAGGTGGGGTTCAAGGCTATTGATCCCGAGGTCCGGTCCCTGGGGTCACGTTAGCTTCTGACGAGGAAGGCCGGTTTTGAAAAAGGGTCTTGCTGTGTGCTCGTGATAAGAAGGCACTGTGGGCTTCTGTAGGGATTCGCATCGTTGGATTCGCATCAACCTTCAGTAGTTTTCTGTGAGGAGACAAGATTGCAGATCCGGGTGCAGGTGGTCTTGGTCTCTGAAACGGGCAAGGAAGCTTGTTCACAATCTACACCTGGCTTTGTGTATGCATCGAAGAGTAGCCAATGTTTACGAGGCTTAATGGGATTGGAGTTAGTTGTGGGAAGTAGACTCGAGAACTCTCACATGACACGGGTTGCAATTGAAACGTTTCAGAGTTTCTTGCTTGTGTGTTTAGCTTGTATTTAACCGACGTCTTCTCGAATTTAAGGAGCCGGAAGGGAATTGAAGGCACCACTCCCTTCGTCTCTGGCCATTTGAGGCTGTGTTGCTTGCCAGAAGAACGCACCCATTGCGTGCTTAATGTGGCGTTGTCTCCGTGAACGATGCCGTTGCTTGGTTACGTTCCGCGCTCTTGCTGCTAAGCTTCACCCTCAGTGAGACTTTGAAGGAAAGATCCAGCTGTTGTGCTGTAAGCACAATGAAAGCTTCTCTCATTCCATTACGCAAGGAGACGTAAATATTTGGAGAGTAACGAGCGCTGCGGAATGTCTTCTATCCGATAGCTGTCAGCGCTACTATCATCGTAGTACGCGCTCTCAAGCCAGCCCTTCGAAATGTGTTTGTTGTTCGCAAGGAGTGGTCATTAACTTGCAAGCAGTAGATGCGATAATTTACCCTTGTGAGTAAACTCTCCAACAATAATAATCTTCCTATTACGAGATTGTGGGGTCCGATTTGCAAACTGGCTGGAGTGAAAACAATGCTCAAGCCATTTGGAGGTCTTTAGTGACTGGATGATTCTTGTTCTAGCAGCGTTACTATCAGCAAATCTTTGGATTTGTGGCAGCCATGTCGCCATTTATGGATTTGGCTCCAGAACGCAAATCGAATGGAGTGGTGCCTAAGGTCGAGCAGCGAGTTCCTTCAAATTCCAGGAGCATTGAAGCGAGTCGATCTGATAAGGGTTCCTCTGCGTGCAACGCATCAAAGCCAGGAGAACCAAGAACCTCAGGCGGTGTTATTTTTGAAGGCATTGCGCTGACGGAGAACGGTTCAATGAAGAAGAAGAGGACTTCGAAGTTCCTCATTAAGCAGTTTGGAATTATTGATAAACCTGCTGATGGAAGCCTCCGGCGGAACCTTGAGCTTGTAGGCAAAGACTATGTATTCACCGTTTCGGAACCCAGAACCGTGTCTAACACTTACGTTTCAGTGCAATCAGACGCAAATTCTGAGGATGCTGCTGATCAGGATGGAATCGGGCTGGGATCGGAATTCACAAAACCTTTTGTTGACTCCGTAGTTGCTCTCGCAGACTCTGCTGTAGGAAAGCATCTGAATGTGGCTAAAGCGACGCCCATAGATTACAGATTTACAAATCGGGGGTGTGTGGAGAAACATCGCTGGAATGTGGCGAAGCTGCCCATCGAGTTGGATTTTAGGCAAGAAGAACGTGGGGTTGGAGGAGGAGAGGTGCCTGTAGATTCTGAAACGAAGTGCTCACCGAGGAATTCATTACGAGTAGGACTGCATTCAAACTCAGGTAATCATTCTTCGTCTGAGGAAAGGTCGCCGACTGGCTCAGAGAGGTTATCTTTCAGTCAAGGTGGCAGTCCTCGCTCAGAGGGGTCTGTCTTGTCAATTCCGGAGACGGTCATGTCCAGCCCCGAACATGGAGTTTACAGTGACGGCAGCGTTCAGTCGCACTCTAGGATGAGTCCCTCAAGCGTGGTCGAGTGGTCAAGCCAGTCTTTCGAAACTCGTGGAGAACTTGGCATTGGTAGGTTGACATCCAGGGAGGATCGAATCATCACCGGAAATTTGCGTCGCTCAAGTCTAACGAATGTCCAACCGCCCACTCAGTGTGAAACCCAAGCACTTGACAACGGTGCAGGTAACCGAATTTCTGATGTGCTCGTGGTTGCAAACATCTGTCGCTTGGTTATATGTATTTCTCGTATTCACATTATCCGTTTTTGTACCCTTTCTGCTATTTATTTTGGTGGTTTCTCACGCACCATTCCCAGCGAGTAATTAGATGAATGAATTGCTTGCAGATGGCTTGGACTCTCGAGCAGAGATACATCACGAAACAACTTCTGCAAGCTCAGAGTCGTCCGTATCCCGACGTTCTTTATGCTGTCGATCTGGGGAATGGGTGTCCGAGGATGAGGATTCAGACGGCGTGTCAAATCACGAACGTAGGGCTAAACATCGAAGTGATGCAAGTTACTCTAGCTATTCATCTTATCATGGATCCCAATCTAGATCTCGGTCTACTTCTTCTTCTTCTACTACTACTACTTCAGGTTCTAGTAGTAGCAGAGGTTACGCAGAATGCTATGATCGCAAACCGAATGGTTCAAGCATGGCCAAATTCACTTTTCCAAGTCGTCGCACGTCGAAATGGCGCGATGGAAACTCCGAAGCTAGCCCCAGGATAGCGGCTCAACCCCGCAAACACAGAAACAAGAAAGGCCGTGAAGGCGGTACTCAAAGCCACTCATGCGAAGTTGACGACATGGCTATATCACTGGATTCAATCACTCCCCAGGAAGCTACAGCAGTGTTCCATGACGAGGTGGCTCGAATGATGCTTGAAGAAGGGCAGGACTGTGGTGAAGCGCATGACGTCGAGGAGTTTCTCCAAGGATATATGAGCTTACGGTCGCCCTTCTATCTGTCCATGGTAGACAATTTTTTTAGAGCTGTGTGTGTGGATTGTTATAAACGACCCTTGGAGCTTCCGGTTGGCGCCACACCTCGCATTCGCAACAGATCGGGGTCCTCCCTCATCTCCAAATCCTTGAGACGAGAACGCAGGCTCGCTGCTTCGACAGGTTGAGCAGCATGTCTTGATTCTACTCGGGAGAGTTTTCAGGTGCCTAGAAAACCAAGAGGACCGCTTCGGTCGAACCATACCGATGGGCCATTGAGAACAGTAGCTTCCCAGACGTATAATTCAAGGACAAAGTGCTTGTACACATATAATTTCCTCGTTTAATCCATCATCCATCTCCTACCAAGCTTACAAACGTTGGCATTGCAGCTCGGTGCTGTTTTTAATTTTTGAAGGCAAGCATGATTACCAAGCATGTGTGAGCAATTGCAATTCGAAGAATAGTAGATGGACTTGGTCGTTGCTGTGATTGTGCAAGTCCGGGGACTAGTTTGCATGGGTTTTTTCATGTGGAAAGATCCACTTCGAAGGATTTGCGACAGTGGCAATCAGCTCACTCCTCATCGAGCCTCTTCCGTGTCTCCTATCTGATATCATCCGAGGAAGAAATAGCATTTCGGCACGGCGCGAAGGGCGCATATAACTGAATGAACTAAGTGAACACTCGTAAAAAATTCACCGAAACGCAGCTGTCTAAACTTATGCAGTGTGACATATCCAATGGTAACGCATGCTCGCGCATGTACATTTTGTAAATGCGATTGACAGCGACCCAGTTCTGTGAAATCTCCCCCACAGCAATCTGAACACCTGCAGTGCCACACACCAAGTGTCAGTGCGAGGGAGACGGGTCTGGAAGCCAGGAAATTGCGGAAAGGTCAGGTAGCTTTCTTGTCTGCATTAATGATAGTGGCTGTGCGAAGCGGGGGTGGCCCCATAATCGGGATTCGGCACAACCCATGCGTGGGAAAAACCCACGCCTGCTTGCCTTCTCAGCTGCATTTAGAATATTCGCACAGGAGCCCTCATTTTCAAAAGCTGCTCACAGCGGGACCTCCCTTTATGTGTCTTGATACTTGTCACTGGCTTTTCCGCCACTAATAGAAAAGTACGGATATGAGACATTCCACACGCTTCGTGATTCATGAATGTTACAGTTCAAAACTGCTGAGATGGGTTCATTTTTATGATCGTTGTCTATGCTTGTCTCTGACATTGTGCTCTCCGAACTAGAATTAAGGGAAAACTGACATCGACATTCCTCATGATCACAAAGTAACTCAGTGTCGACTATAATTTCTGACATTGGCGTTGATTGAGTATATCATATTTTTATTTATTTATTTATTTATTTTGTGGCAAATGAAAACTAATTTCATTGCAGAAGAACTAGTACAAGGCATCTGGTAGAGAAGGGACTCATGAATCCCAACTAGAGAGTGACTCGCATCTAGGACTTAATTAAGTTAAAATACAATCCCTTTTGCAGGGATCTGTATACTGCAATTTAAAGTCATTTTGTGGTATTGTTTTGAGTTGGTTGGAGTGCCATTTTCTTGTGTTTCTTGTGTATTTAAGAATAGTAGTTCCAGCTAAGAGTTAACAGTGAAGAGTCGGTCACAAGTGTCAATTGAAGAAGTTCCAGAATGAACGACTCAGCAGCAATATCAATTGGAACTTCGGGATGTCTAGATTTTGAAACTGGAGGCTCAAGTCAATGAACTGGGAAAGTAGAATGAAAATCTATCAAACCAGTTGAAAAAGGAGTCAATGGAAGGACTAGAGGAGGAAGAAGATTTGCAATTGAAACCAGATTTGGCGGAACCTACATTCAATAATGTAGTAAATGATTAATTGGGTGTCAAGGACAAGAACTCAATGAAAAAGCAATTCAGACAAGTAAGCCTTCACTCAAAGGAAGGTAACAAAATATAAATAAACAAGTATGTATATTGTAAGAGAAACTGGAATGGCTATTGCCAAAAGACATTGGACAACTGCATTGGACATCTCTTATTGTTTTTGGGATCTTCCAATCTATAATAGTTTGAACTTTCTTAGGATCCATCATAAGTCTATCATTTGAAATGATGTAATCTAAGAAATCGACTTGAATAGTGTAGAATACATACTTTTCTATCTTGGCATAGAGTCCCGCATCTCTTAATTTTTGTAACACACGACAAACATGAAGTTCATGTTCTTCTGGATTTTTAGAATAGATCAAGATGTCGTCTAGATAATAGACTACAAAATCGTCCAAAAACTCTCGAAAAGTATTATTAATTAGATGTTGAAAAGTTGTTGGTGCATTTGTAAGTCCAAAAGGCATGACATTGTATTCAAAATGTCCATACCTACTTCTAAACATAATCTTCCATTCATCTCTTTCTTTGATGCATACTAGATTGTATACTCTCCGGAGATCTATTTTTATATAGATCTTAGCTTGATTCAGCTGATCAAGAAGTCAAGATATTAAAGGTAGTGGATACCTGTTCTTGATAGTAATCTTATTGAATCCTCGATAATCAACACACATCTGCAATGATCCATCTTTTTTCTTCACAAATAGAATTGGAGCTCCTGTCGGAGATTTAGAATGGCGTATGAAATTCTTGACTAGATTTTCTTCAATATACTCCTTGAGTTTAGTCAACTCATTTTGTGATAAACTGTAGATTGGTCCGAATGGCGATTGTGCTCCTTCTTGAAGATCAATTGAGCAATCATAGGGAGGATGTTCTGAGAGTGTATCCGCATACTTTTTTTCAAATGCATCTTGAAATTCTTGATATTGGCTTGGAATGCCACGTGAAGTCTTTGCACCATTAAAAACGGGTGTGGCATAAATAATATATGGTGATTCTTTCATAACAGCATGCAAGAAAGCTTTTGCACCTATAAACACGGGTTTAATTGAACTAGACTTATGACTCTCTACTTGATTAACTACACTGTTAGTTATACTTTTAGGGAAAGTAAGAGTTTGAGAAATCCAATCTATTTCAGGGTTGTATTTTTTTAACCATGATAAATCTAAAATGATTGGATTAGAAGGAGATTTAATGATATTAAATACTACAAAGCTATTATGATCATTGATTATTACTTCTATAAGAAGGATTTTGTGAGTAATATCTCCAGAAGACAATGGACAACTATCTATGACTTCTACACGAACAGGTTTAGTTTTCTTTATTAAAGATATGATATGTCTTTTAGTAAATTCTTCATCTAAGAAACACGTTGAGGCTCCTAAATCTAATAAGGCAGAGGCTTTGTAATGTTTAGGTCCTAAAATAACATTTAATGTAAAACAAGGAGAGGTCTCTGAGGAGAGAATAGGACCTTTACTAGATGTTGTGCAAGGTTCCAGCCACACAATCCCTATTATAGCTGGACTAACTCGTTTTTCGACATATTGTCTTCTTTGACAGCCATACTCCTCATTTTGTCGTTGCGTCATTTCTTTGGATAATGTTGAGCAGTGTATTTTGGTTCTCCACAATATAAACATAATCCTTCTTGACGATGACGAGTCTTTTCTTGCTTAGTAAGAGGTATGAAACGTACTACATCAATTTGCATATCCTCTACTTCTAAATGTATGTGTTGAAGAGGTGTTGGTGTTGCCATTGAATTATAATAATGTTGAGGTCCACTTGTATGGTTCTCAGATCAAAATTCAAAAAGACGATTGTCGCACTTCACAGCAAAGTCAATCGCTTGACTCAATGTTTGAAGATCAGGTAAGTTGAGCATTAATTTTTTAACCTCATATTGTAATCCATAGAAAAATTGATTAATAAGTGCAACATCATCCCACTTGATATCAGTTGTAAGTTGTCAAAATTATGAAGCATACAACATTACTGATCGATTGCCTTGTCGTAAAATATGGATCTTATTGGTTGCAACACGAATTGCATCATGTTCTCCATACATAGATCAAAATTCCACTAGAAAAGCCTCTAGATTATCCAATATTGAATCTCGTCGTTCAAGAAAAGATGAAAACCACGATAGAAATGAACTTCAAAGAAGCGTATCAATGAATCTAACTTGCAATCCTGGAGTTGGATAGCTTTGGGGTTGAAGTTCAATCACAAGTTGCACTTGATTGATAAATCCTCGAAACTTGAATCTAGTGCCATCAAACTTCTCGTGTAGGATAATTCTTGGTTCTCTAATACTGGAAGGGCATTCCACCATAGAAAAAAGGACATGATTTGGTGCAGATGTTCAAGCAGCTCCAACCATTTCTATATCTTCACTTCCTACTAATCTTGTTGCTCCTTGCGGTGGTAAATTGAGTTGATGCATCGCAAGCATTAACTCCCTCAATTGCTCTTGCATTTATGCCATTGCATTCTTCATTTCAACAAGTTGTGCCATGATAACACTTAGAAAAGAGAAGATGTCTAATATCGCTCAAGACAAATAGAAGAGAGGACTTGGGAACAAAGAAAATACTAAAGACAATATAAGTTTAGAAGAGAATAATCCGCAACTTCTAATATGCTTATATCTTATTAAGAAAAAAGAATAATCCACTGTTAATCAAGATTAGACAAAGCTCTGATATTGTAGGTGTACTCTTATCAATTTGTCAAGGACAAGAATTCGATGAAAAAGTAATTCAGAAAAATAACCCTTCACTCAAAGAAAAGTAAAAAAATATAAATAAATAAGTATGTATATTGAAAGAGAAACTAGAATGGCTATTGGCAAAAGACAAGAAAACTACAGACCCTTGAAACTAGACTAGAAGCAAGAAAGGAGTTGACAAGAGTGAAGAAGGCTTCACTCTTGTCTCTATATATACTATCTAACTAGGGGCTACGTAGCGACATTCTATAGGACCTCCAATAAATGTTGACTTTGTAGGACACATGCCTTGACTTACAAGACAAGTTTTTCTATGTGTGGGCCACATTGTTAGCTTGGTCTTTAAGCTAACAACATGTGTGGCATATGGCCAACTTGTTGACCACGTTTCTAATCCAAAAAGTCAATTAAAGATACCTATAAAGTCAAAGCAGCATTTATTACTACTAGAACATATGCATCAACTTTCAAGTTGGCAGCCAAGTAACATCAATGTAATTTTTTGGACGTTTTCTCATAATTTGTAAGTTATATTGGACTGAATTTTTTTTTAAGCATGTAGAAGACTTATAGTGGCATTTGTATGCAAAATTTTGCATCAAGTAGATGATCAGATTAAGAGTTACAACTTACTGAAGCTCATTGACTACGATTAGAGCTTCCAAAAAAAAATCAAAATTACCTAATTATGAAAGTAATAAAGCAATTGGAATTTGTATATAATTGAGGTTATTTAGAAGAGTATTTTTGAGCACTTTATATTGACTTTAAGTACTTTTGAATTATAATTCAAATTACATTCTTTTTATATGAATGAAATC